AAAGCGCTATAAAAAAAATTGCCCAAGCTCTAAGAATGGGGATTTTTTTTCTGAGACACTATATGATATACTGATTCAGAAAAACCAAAAATTAATTTTCCTTTACTTTTTTCCCGCAAATTTCCTACTACGTCCAGGCTAGTGGTGTATTTTGGCATCATGGCTGTTAGCACACCCTTGAATCAGACAATTATTCATTATTTGTAAGAAATGAATCAGGCATTTACAAGAACATTCTTGTTTTGTTTCAAGGTAAGTTTTTATGAGGCGCAAATGTAAATTTATTATTTAACACAATTATTTATATACAATTCATTATTTAACATATAATTGAATAGATCACCCATTATTTATATATAATGCATTTACGTCTAACAGATTATATGTAAATAATTGCGTTAACGTTTTCATTATTTATATATAATTAGTTTACTGGTTTCATTATGTATAAATAAGGAAAGGGTGACACATCATTATATGTAATGAAAAGTAACTTAATTATTTATATATAATAAGTTCACTGATTTCATCATATATAAATAATGAAAAGTAACTTACAATTATTTATATATAAGTTCACTTATTTCATTATATATAAATAACGAATTTACTTCAAACTCATTATATATAAATAACTGCTTTTACATTTTATTATATATAAATAATAGCTGTCGCAAAACCATTATATGTATATAATGCTTGGACTTCAAACTCATTATATGTAATCGTGTTATCGTGTTAATATATCTCTAAATAAGGGGTTTTACTTCCAATTATATATAAATAACGGTTGAGGTCGAGTGTCATTATATATAAATAATGACATCGTAGGAAGCCATGGTTTATAAATAATTTGTTATGCACAGCCATGACGAAGTAATAAATATTCACCAGCGCTCTAAAGTTACAATTAGGGCCTATTCACTTAACGCAAATGGAACAGTAAGGGATACCGCAGATTATTGAATCCAGTGGTGGATTAAAAATTTAAAAAAAAATGTTTCATGTAATGGTCGTTCCCACCATATTGTTTTCATTGTTTTCTGGGTTGATTTGCAAGGTACTACATGACTCAACTATTTTTTTTACTTAGGAGTTAATTGGTAAAAATCGCACAGAATTCATACGACATCACTGACAACGCCGGGGACGACAACTCGATTTTGTGATTAATTTTCCGAATAAATTTATACTAAATAACTTCTAATGACGCACTATTGTCTTTGTTGGCCATTCAACTGTCATTTTATCTATTTTTCCGGAGATATCACCATTCCCAATAATCTATAAAACACCCACATAACAACGTCACGTTAGATCGATTGTTGGGGCGCCGTGGTGACGCCGGTAGGGTCAATTTTCGTCGGAAGGTATCAAGATGATAGTTTCATTGGACTAAATTCTTGCTTATGTTTACCACATTTTTACTTAAGATTATACTGACACTGGTTTCAAATCACGGTAAAGTATAGTTAAAAATCACCTTATTTTGCGAATTAGCGCCCCCTCAACTGATCATCGAACCCCCCACCCCACTTCAAGACATCTAGATACGCCACTGCAGTGGGGTTCCAGGGGGCTTCACCCCTGGGAAGCCACGGATATTTGATGAATTATGGCGAATTTTTTTTACTTATTGATAGGCATCGAGCTACTATAATACGACTTCATGTAGGCTATGTTTGTATGTCGAAATCAGCTTACAAAACCAAAAAATTTTGAGTAAAACAAGAAACAAAGTTTATTTACGTATAATCTTTTAGACGTAAATGCATTATATATAAATAATGGGTGATCTATTCAATTATATGTTAAATAATGAATTATATATAAATAATTGTGTTAAGTAATAAATTTACAATTGGCGCCTCATAAGTCTTAACAGTGTGGACCAAGTTCGGCCACGAGCAATTTTTTGTCGTAGGATGGTAAAGCAAAGTCTCCTCAATTATTCAAGTCTGACTGATAAATATGCTGCTATGTACATCAGAATCTGTCTCTTATACACATCTAGATGTGTATAAGAGACAGTTTATATATAATGCATTTACGTCTAACAGATTATATGTAAAGGGCCAAGGGTGGCATTTTCCCTCCTGTCAGACAAGCCTGGACCCAGTTGTTCGACGCCACGATTAGGTCGTCAGATCAAATATAAAAGAAAAAAGATAATAATTTGCCTATCCAAATAATGTTATTTTGATTGCTAATCCCAAGGGGTTCACAGTTCCTCGCTAATTCCTAATATTGTGGAGCAAAAGCTCAATTTGGACCATATTTTATTGCTTAAAAGCAATACTACCAGGGATTTTTTTATGTCTGCCAAGGCTCAAGTCGGTCCTTTAGCTTTGACCCCTCCACAGGACATGTCAGCAAATTTTTGGCGCCATCAGTCTGTTCTAAGGACCTAGAGTTCAGACCTTGTATGGGCCTTGTGTGATTGACTTGACTTAGTAGATTCTGAATTTTAATGCATTACATTTACTGTCAGTCTGCAAATACTAAATATTGCTCAATTAAAGTATATTGAAACTCCACTGTGTAACATAAGACTTTGCTCAATGCTGCGAAGCTAAGATTATGCAAATTATGCCCATACAGTGGTCCACTGCCACCACTGTAAATAAATAGACAAAACAAACAAATGTGATATGAGAAGGTATGGTTTCTAAGTAGGTTTTAAGTTTTTCCAATTTATTTATCAATCTTCAAAATAATCCAAAAATAAAAAATGATTATTTTGAATATCAACGTACAAATTCTAAATCCTAGTTGATCTCCTTACACATTCAGACTTCAATTTGTGCTATCACTTGACCCTAGAAGACACTCACTCATCAGTGACCGCCCTGCATTCTCTGCACAATGCTGCCCGATTCAGACGAGAATGCAACCTTATCGCACGTGTAGATGACTTTATGTGATGTTATTATATCTTAGATGTTTCTGTCAATGTGCAATCAAAAGCTCAATCTATAATTCTGAAACTGATCTCGCCTTGCTAAATGATATTATATATTTTTATTTTATTTTATTAATTTCGGCAACACAAGTATCAAAGACACAATACAACTTTGAATGCGCCATGGATTAGCAAAAGAGGTCAGAGAACTTCTGTTGCCAAGAGGCGTGCCACTCCAACACTCAAAGCCTACAAAAAACATGCAATAAAATATAGAAATATACAAGAATATCTAAAAAATTAAATAGGCCTATATCTTTAAAATGTCTTTTAAAAATATTTTTAAAATTCGACCAGCTGTCACATAAAAAAGCATTTCTAATGTTGTCAGGTAGCCCATTCCACATACGAGTAAATCTAGTTGCAATACAATACTTTCCACTATCAGTTTTGGATGCCAGATGCTTAAATTTTAAAACATCCAAATGCCTACAATTAACAGTCAACATATTTAAAATAGAACTATTATGCAGTTTATATAAAAAATTAGTAACAAAAATAACAGGAGAATAATCTCTATTTGATTTATAGTCATCAAGTTATGTTTTACTAATCAGTCGGCATATGACAGATCTAGAATCTGTTGATGTAAAATAAACCTACTCGCCCTTCCCTGAATTTGTTCAATTATCAAGATGGTTCTATTGGTGCATTTAAACTGAATTATATAATTGAAATTCATTTTATAATATCAAAAAAATGTACATTCTGACATACGAGTAAATCTAGTTGCAATACAATACTTTCCACTATCAGTTTTGGATGCCAGATGCTTAAATGTTAAAACATCCAAATGCCTACAATTAACAATCAACATATTTAAAATAGAACTATTATGCAGTTTATATAAAAAATTAGTAACAAAAATAACAGGAGAATAATCTCTATTTGATTTATAGTCATCAAGTTATGTTTTACTAATCAGTCGGCATATGACAGATCTAGAATCTGTTGATGTAAAATAAACCTACTCGCCCTTCCCTGAATTTGTTCAATTATCAAGATGGTTCTATTGGTGCATTTAAACTGAATTATATAATTGAAATTCATTTTATAATATCAAAAAAATGTACATTCTGACATACGAGTAAATCTAGTTGCAATACAATACTTTCCACTATCAGTTTTGGATGCCAGATGCTTAAATGTTAAAACATCCAAATGCCTACAATTAACAATCAACATATTTAAAATAGAACTATTATGCAGTTTATATAAAAAATTAGTAACAAAAATAACAGGAGAATAATCTCTATTTGATTAAATATTATATGTCATCTTAAACGACCCATTGGTAATAACATGGTAACATCAATGTATTTTTAAGAATTAGACAGCGACGTTCTCTCAGAAGTTGTTTTGTAGACGTTTATCTGTTGATGACATTTTGACCTCATGAATCTGCAATGAGATTTTCGGGTCGATTCAGCCGAGACGGCCCGAGTGGAGTTTCATGTAAATGTTTCGTACGAAAAAAAAAATCGCGGACGGGACACTAGTCCATCGCAGGTTAGTCCCCAGCAGTTTGCTGGTACCCATTGATACAGCTGGGTGGACTGAAGCAATGTGGCTAAAGTGCCTTGCCCAAGGACACAAGCAAATCTGCACAGCAGAGACTCGAAACCCCGACCTTACGATTGAAAGCCCAAACCTCACCGCTGAGCCAAACTGCCACTAATTAATAAAAGGGTCGTAAAAACATGCATTATGATTTTTTGGAGCGATTCAAAGATAATAATGCATGTTTGTGGAACTGAGTGAAACCTTGTATATTTGGTTAGACTTGGGTCCCCTGAAGTAACTGTTATTCCATACACAAGAGGAATTGGTAAAATTGGGCAATATTTTCATGCACTTTTCAATATTTCTTGTAGTAATTCTCCTTAAGTGTATGAAATACAACTATATTAATTGCTTAATATGTTCGTATTGTGAAAATTCATGTCATGGTACTTTAAGAACACAATTAATTTAAATTTTTTTTGTGCTGTTATAGTCAAGGTTATACACTGGTTTTTAATTGTAAAAACATCATTACCTTTTAGGTATAGCTCCTGTATTGGGTCCAGGCTCCCCAGAAGATCGGTCTGAAGTGCTTCCTTGCCTATTACTCTGCAGGTTTCCTGCACTTGGATTAATAAACTTCCAGAGGGCAAGGAAAGGCGACAGGAGCATCAGGACTGGACTATCTGATTGGGTAACAGCAGTGGACCCCTGTAGAAAAACAAGCATAACAAACTTTATTGTTCAGACAATAAATAGAAAATTTAGAAGTTGCATCACACTGACCTAGTGGGAAAGAGTTGGCATAGCGGATGAGTTTTGGGTTGTCAACCTCAAAGTCATGGATTTGAATTGCTATTTTGTCCATTCTTTCCTTTTGCCAAACGCTCATTATCTAAGCATGCTCTTCATAACTTTTATATATGGGTATTTTTACATTACTGTACAATGCATAAGGTTGGACACTGACTGCGCTAGACAGCTGTTGGGCGAAGTGATTCTACGAGGAACGCAACACGGAGGCGTTCAGACTGCCACCAGCAATCAGCAGATGGTGTCGCGTTGTCTATCGCTCGCTGGGAGTGAGTGGAGTTGGATTCATCATGCGACGGTCGTACGACTAAGGCAATGAGTGCCCAGCTTTCACCTGTGTTGCACCATGATTTGAAGTTCCACCAGGATGCAGAGGAGGTCAGATGTTGTGCATCTTTGTCTGTATATGGATCTAATGACCAGATTAACAAATTCTTCACATTGTACATGGTGCTAATATAAATAACATAACATGCATGGTAGTGGAAACAAGTGGTACGTAAGTTATTGAGCTTCCATTCAAATGTTCTTAAGCTCGTTTTCCACTAGGTGAACTTATTCGTGTGAATCAAAAGCTTTGGTACGATTCCTGAGCTCGGAGGCAGTGCTATCGGGAGTCCAGGAGGGCAAAGGACCCCCCTCCGTATCAGGGACCTTTAAACCCCGTGTCTGGGAAGTTCCAACAAGGTTGTCGGGGAAAAATCAAATCTTGAGTGCCGAAAGTTCAATTCAAGCATGAAAGTTCAAAACTAAGCTGTCAAAATTTTAGGGATTAAAAACTGCTTAGTGTGAGCAGTGCTTCTGTATGTGGGAGGTGTTGTATATACTATTGCAATTGCATGGGTTGCAGTGGTGTGCTAGCTCTTCCCAACAGGGAGCTGGTACCTGTACCTCCAACAGGGGGACTAATACCCCCAACATCCTTTTCAAAATAAAGAATCCCATAATCAACACAAAATTTTAAAATATTCACCGACATATTTAATTGTTGGGAGGGGGTTGGTGTGACTAGGCTCCCCGATGTAGGGTGGGGCATGGACCCCTTGTTGGAGAGCTTGGACCCCTCGTTGGTAAATTCCTGGCACCAGTACCCCTGTCTGAGTTATGATTGGTTGCACATTGTTTTGCTTAGCAAGAAGTAGGAACTTCGCAAAGGAAGTATTTCGACACGACATATACTACCCAACTCAAGTAATAAAGCCTTTTTGAGGTCTCGGACCATGGCCTATAAATGGATTTCTATTCTATTTAATTTTGTATTTGGGTGTTGTTAGGGAAAGTTGTAACTTTTTATGTTCTTTACATCAATAGGCATACTAATAATTTCCAAGCCCGTAGCCAGGATTTTGATAGGGAGGTTCTTTTTAATACTGAAAGGGCCGGCACTTGCGAGCATCATTGGCTGGGGGCCAAGGGAGCCGCCAAGGGCCCCGCTGGGGTCCCCGGGAAGCTCCAACATTCTAGACATTTAGAAGTGTTATTTAATTGATTGGAGAGGCCATGGATACATTAAAAAATGTATATATTAAAAAAGAGTAAATCCAGAGAATTCTGTTTACAATACAGTATTATGAAGGCCTCTCTCTAGCTCTCTCTAGTTTGCGGGTGGCCGACGATCGTATCGGGACGATTGGTGATACGCTCTGCTGCTGCTGCCTGCCCTGTCCCTATTTTGGGCAGTTAGGCCTACACGGTCATATTGATTAAATAATAATGTTGTAACAGTTGAAAATGCACAATTTTTATTTATTTTTTTATGTTACTAGGTAGGCCTAACAATCGGGTATTAAAGTAGGACTTTTTTTAATAATGATGATAGGCTCTAGGCTAGGCCCAAGGTGTAGGCTAGCCAGCCTTTGTTGAAAGGGCACTTAATGAGAAGTGGGGTTCGTTCAAACCCAACGAACCCCCCTGGCTATGGGCTTGATTTCCAACAAATTTCGTACCACTGTCAAAGAAATATGATGTAGTATTTTTGTTAACACCTGCAGTGAAAAAATTAGCCTGTACTATGGTTTGAATGAATGTACATAAAAAAGAATATGAAATGGTAAATGCTTCTACCTCCTCCTTTTTCTTTTCTTTGTTCTCTTGCAATGCCCCCTCCTCTATGGTCTCATTACTTGTATTAACTTCTACAGATGCTTGTAAAATAAAAAAAATAATAATTAATATGACAATTTTTATCAGTTTTTATAAGGCACCATACTACATTACAGCACTTTACCAAATCAGGTCATTAGATACATTTACCATGCATCAAAGGATATAGAAAAGGAAGAGAGCTCAGTACACTCGATGTGAGTATAATTGAACGATACACGGCTTTGTGAGGACACCACTGTGTTTGGTTGTCGCTTTTAGTTACCCAATAATACCTAGCATGGTTTGTTTATCTGTTTTCCACAAGATATAATTCCTTTGTAAGGGCAACAGTGTTACTACAGTATTTTCAAAAATATACTCCCAGGAGAAGCAAGTGGCTATACTGTATTATGTTTAGGCCTACTAAATTATCTGCATCGGTATTTGGTTTGAGAAATTTGTAATCATTTTGGTTCCAGACGTTTAAGTAAAACCAAAGAGTTGAACTCTCGGTCTTGTGGTTGTCGTTGAAACGCAATCCTCCTATCATTGTATCTGGAAAAGTACTACCAAAATTGAGGGCATCCGTCAAAAGAAAGTAAAGGTGTTCGAATCGCATGTTCGAGTCTTGAACGCAATTTTCTTCAAGTCTATTTGATTTCTAATAGCGCGCCCTCTACGTTGTGGTAGTAGTACCCATCATGCACCTCCACTGGATTTACTTGCTCTTACAGGGTTAACTGCCAAATCATAACATAGCATCTATGTCCCCGGTAATATCTTACGTGTGGGTGCACTTCCACCTGACAATCTGAGCATAGAGGGAGCACTTTCATGACAACAATAGTGACTTCCATTAGGGCTAGTAAACAGGACTAAGCACTCTTCCCTTTCTATAATCTTTGCATTCTTGCACCCCTGTCTCTTATACACATCTAGATGTGTATAAGAGACAGGGCCATGGATACATTAAAAAATGTATATATTAAAAAAGAGTAAATCCAAGGAATTCTGTTTACAATACAGTATTATGAAGGCCTCTCTCTAGCTCTCTCTAGTTTGCGGGTGGCCGACGATCGTATCGGGACGATTGGTGATACGCTCTGCTGCTGCTGCCTGCCTGTCCCTATTTTGGGCAGTTAGGCCTACACGGTCATATTGATTAAATAATAATGTTGTAACAGTTGAAAATGCACAATTTTTATTTATTTTTTTATGTTACTAGGTATAGGCCTAACAATCGGGTATTAAAGTAGGACTTTTTAAAATAATGATGATAGGCTCTAGGCTAGGCGCAAGGTGTAGGCTCTGTCTCTTATACACATCTTGATGTGTATAAGACTCCTATCATTGTATCTGGAAAAGTACTACCAAAATTGAGGGTATCCGTCAAAAGATAGTGAAAGGAGTTCGAATCGCATGTTCGAGGCTTGAACGCAATTTTCTTCAAGTCTATTTGATTTCTAATAGTGCACCCTCTACGTTGTGGAAGTAGTACCCATCATGCACCTCCACTGGATTTACTTGCTCTTACTGGGTTAACTGCCAAATCATAACATAGTATCTATATGCCCCCGGTAATATCTTACGTGTGGGTGCACTTCCACCTGACAATCAGAGCATAGAGGGAGCACTTTTATGACAACAATAGTGACTCCCATTAGGGCTAGTAAACAGGACTAAGCACATGCACTCTTCCCTTTCTATAATCTTTGCATTCTTGCACCCTCTGCTGATGATGATGCTTGTTAAATTTTCTTGTATAAGTCATGCAAAAGTAAAATTAGAACTGAGACCAATGCATTCTAATTCAGAAGTTCATATTCTACAATGCATTATGTACTTGTGAGTGATGGGACACCTAGATAGAGTGTCTGCACAAGATGCAAGGAATGTGCTCACATGCTTTCAAAAAACATATTTTTTCATTTCATGGATACAACAATTTAATTAAGTTAATGTAACTGAGCAAACTAAAATATTTATGATAGTATAATACATACTCCAAGAAACGAAATGCATGCCATCATGTCGGGATTCAATATTTCGACATTTAATTATGTCATCATCAGGAATGATGATGACATTCCTGATGATGACATAATTAATGTCAAAATATTGAATCCCGACACGATGGTGTGCATTTCGATACTTGGAGTATGTATAATCTTATCTGAGATTAATCAGTGGACCTTTTGGTAAAATATTTATTTTATTAAAATTCAAAATAAAGAAATGAAAACAAATATTACTACAATATTAAGTTATAATATGATATGGAATTTAAATATTAACAACTAATGGCTGATTAACATATTTTAGTACAAGGAGCATATGCACTGCTTACCAGAAGATGATGTTTGAACTTTGTCAGGTTGGTCTGAAGGTACTTTTGGAGTTCCAGAGCTTTCGGTCAACAACTGAAAAGGATCTTTCTCCGTAAGTCTTCAACTGACAGGTAGGCACATGAAGGGTCCTAAAGCTGGTTTTCCGCTAGGCGAATTTATTCTCGTGAATCAAAAGCATCACTCATGCGCATGCACATTCACATTTCTATCGGAGTTTTCGCTTCAGTGAAATTAATAGTTCGAACCGTTTCTACTTTTTACTAAGTGAAAAATGTGCGCAACCAATCAGAGCTCAGGAACCGAACTGACGCCTTCGAATCGCGTGAATAAATTCGCCAAGTGGAAAACTGGCTTTAGATGTAGTGGACTTTTACATTTAGCTTAACAGATTATGAGTTCTGAGATGTGATGAGGAGTGGAATGGTGCAAAGACTTGGACTCATTTTGCTCAGTGATTGGAGTCAGTGCAGTTTCTTAAGTGTGACACTAATGTGTAGAAATTTGAGAATACTAGAGACAAGTATGGATGGTATAATGTATTGGAAACAAATTAGAACAAATTATTATTTGTAGGAGCATCACCGACAATTACATTGGCAATGGCATGTATACTGTAAAGGGAATATGATAAGTTTTATTTTGCTAATGCATCCAGTGAATAATTGGCCTGTAATATTATTTGAATGAATATTATACATATAATATAGAAATAAATATGAAATGGTAAATGCTTCTACCTCCTCATTTTCTTCTCCCAACTCTTGAAATGCAACCATCTTCTGCCATCTATATGCCTTCTTCTCTATGGTCTCATCACTTGTATTAACTATAATTATATAAAATTTCCGATGATTATGACATCAATTGATTTGATTTTTGAAAATATTTTTTATCATACAAATGATACATCGTTACCAAATCGTGCTAGTTTAAAAAATTCTATTATTTCTTTTATTTTCTATATGAACAATTGCTTTTTAGCTTTTTATCATTGATCGCTAGGCCTAAAAAATAAATTGTTTGTTTGCCTTTTAATGCCGAAGATTGTATAGGAGGGGCAGGCGCAAAAAAAGTTTTTTGTTTTAGTTTTTTTTTCTCCTGTCACCAAATTAACATATTAAATCGCAATGCTTGCAATTAAGCTGTCGCACTATTTGTTTTTCCAAGGGTATTCATCAGATTGAATAAAAATAACCCATAATCAATATTTTGCAAAGAATTTAGGCCTAGAATGGCGATATCTTACATCAGACACCAAATTTAGACAATTTTCATGTGCAAAATGGCAAAAAATAAAGATCGCTTTATAAAATTTTTGAACAAAATATCGAAAAAAAAAATTTGTTTTTAAAACACCACCTCTATTTTTTTTTTGAGCTGGGGGGGGGGGAAGCTGGAGGGCAAACAAAAATTTATTCTTTTTAGGCCTTATCGCCATAGTGCAAACAGGCCTGTCTTTCAAAAGTAAAATCAGCAGAACATTCCAATGCATTCTAATTAAAAAGTTCATATCCTACAGAGCGAATCCGTGGCTGCTTGCAGGGTTGATGTTTGAGCATCCATTGCTTTTGTTGTTGCTACTGCTGAGGTTTGGTTGGAATTGGACCTATTATTTCTCTACATAAAAGATAAGATTGAGAATTTCTTTTTCCTGTCAAACCAAAAATTAAAACTTGAATGTTAAAATTATCTTAACAGTTCTGCTGTTCTTTACACAAACAACTTCAAACAAAACAAAATTAGGAACTGGTATGTGTGTGTATATATATCATCACCACTTTCACGGAGAGACACAATCTTTAATTTCGACCAAAACAACCTTTTGAGAAAAACGCATTTGAAGTGTACTAATTAAAAAATTGTAAAATAAAAAATTTAAAAATTTGGTTTTACGTATGTTTCAATGATAAAGCGTTAAACAATTCAAATTTTCTTTTTCTTTTTCTTTTCTTAACTTTAACCTGTTAATTAGTGTGAAAAGTTTTGTGTCTGTCCATGAAAATGATAACGAGAACATCAATGATGCAATAGCCCACTTGACAATAACTGGCAATGTTTAAGTGCTGTTAGTGAGTGGAGGTTGTGTGGAGTGTTGTTACATGTATTGAGCATAAAAAAAACATTTAAAGTTATAGTAGTTGTATGCATCATCACAGGACCTTTTTTGTTATGTTCACATAACAGATAGAAAAGGTGTGATGTCGCGTACAGTGATATTAAAGGAAATATGGTTGTTGTAGGGGTTGTTGTGTACGTATGTTTCTGAAATATTTTGTACTGTAATTATGAAGATATATATGTAGCGGTTTATGATTTAAGTAGACAGTTTGGTGAGCGAATGGAATTTGTTGCATAGAAGTATTTCATTGTGAAGAAATATATTTTTCCAAAGGCGCATTATAATTACGTATATCATTTGTCTTTGTTTGTTAGTTAAACATGCAGCTTTGTTTGAGAAAGGCTAAATAACTTCTTGGCTGACATCAGATCTTGATGTATGTATACGTTTATATGTACATATATATATTTATGTATATATATATATATATATATATATATATATATATAAAAATATATACATACACACATACACGCATACATACATACATACATAATATACATAATATATACATACATATACATATATACATACATATACATATATACATACATACATACATATACATACATATATACACACATACATATATACATACATACATATATAAATACATATATATATATACAGTATATATATATACATATGCATATATATACATACATATATGT